AGGATAGGTCTCCCCAGACCGACCCACTAGCTATGAACATTCTAAACTAACATGAGCCTCATTAGGTGTCCAGTTTTAGGGTATTTCACAGAAACATACCAAGGGAACATGAATCAAATATGCACTTTTATTCATTTACAATAAACTCATAAAGTAAATCATTCTGATTGAAGCTAAGGGCATACAAAACTGTCTAACAAATATGGAAACCCATATTCAATCTAAAAAGCTTAAAATTGTTAGGTGAGGTCCCTTGATAGGTCTATTTTCTAAGCTCACTAAGCGACAGCTTTTGCTGTTGGCTTGACAGTGATGTATTCATGCTTTTTCATGGCTATAAAATCATAGATTGTTGTTTGGTTGGTTTTAAACCCAAAAAAGAATTACAGTTTGAAAAACCAAGGTTTTAAAAACTAGATTGAACACGGAATCATTTTGGGGACCGGTTCTTGGGTCAAACGGTCCAACCATCTGTTTTGAATACCCATTCTGATTTAAAAAATAATTAAAATAAAAAAGGTAAAAAATCATTATCCGGATCAATGAGTTAATGGAATGATTTTAGGGTGAAATGGAATCAATTGCCTAACCAATTCGCGAGTCAAGCAGTCCTAACCAGTTCCCGAGTCAACCAGTCCTGTTTTTAGAATCATGTAAAAAACACCTATGACCTACCTACCAAGAGATGAGAAACACCACAATAATGGTTACTGAGATTGAACTGTCATAATATATCTTTCCCTTTGATTGGGTGAGCAGGGATCATTTAGTAAAGGATTTCACTTTCAAGAGGAAGTGAGGAAGCAATTAATTGCTAGAAGCTAGGGGCGGGAGCCCCAGAAAAGTCCGTCTTCGGGGCTGCTCGACACTTGAGTGGGGTGCCATACATTGCTATATGGTCATCACTCATCGGCCACTCGATCAAACATTAAGGTGACGTTTGGCAAATCTTTTTAAAAAAATCTTCGGGTAATTCAAATTGTCAGAAGATTTATTGAACTTTTGGTTCAGTCTATCAGGCTTTTAAAAATGCACTCAAAGGCTATATATCGAAAAGACAGAAAACTCCATTTGAAGCTTCTTGAAATTCAGAGCTTTTGATCTTTTCAGGACTTTTTGCACATGCGTCTTCGCATCTTTTTGGCTTTTAATTACCAAACAGAAAAGATATTTGATCTTTCAAACTTGCTGA